CCCAGAAAGGTCCACTTTTTATTCGCACAGGAGCTGCCTGTCTTCCCGGAGCCTTGTGTAAACAATTGCCTCATAGTTTTGTATGCTTATATTGTTATCAATAAATGCTGTTGATCTTTAAGAAAGAAAGCACACTTTAAGCGATGCTAAAAAACCAGAAAAGCAGGCCCGCCATGCGCTTTCTTCCTTTATAATGTCTAATCAGCTTTTAATACTTTTTCTGTTTTCAGCAGCTTGCCTGTAGTATCTGTAATCAATACCTGATAATAGCCCGCCGGGAAAGCGCTCATATCCGCCTGCTTCGCATTCATCAGCCGCACCATCATTCTGCCCATGGCATCTGTAATGGTGATATGAACGGCTATTGGCGCTTCGGCATAAATGATGTTCTTTACCGGGTTGGGGAAGATCTTTATTTGTTTGGCAATAGGATTATTTCCCACACTATTGGGTACGTAGACGGAGGTGGTCATATTGCTGTTCGCTGCGCGGTTAACCAGGTAATTATGCGAAGTACCGGTGCCCATATTGTATTCATAAACGGTGAAGTAATACAGCATACCGGGTGTCAGGCCAATCAGCTTTACCACATTGGCGCCAGAACCGGTACCATCATAAATGATCTTTCCACTACCGGCCTGTGTTAAGGCTAAGGTATAATTGGCATTGATACCGGTCACCCCTGTTCCGTCAGCGGGAATAAAAGCGGCGGGACTGCCCAGGTTTGTAATAATGATACGGCGTGCACCATCCCCGATGGTTGGCAGGTTTACTTCCATTGTTGTATCGGTAACATCGCTGAATGTTATAGAACCAATAGACACCGGCTCTACGTCTACCGCATTACCGGTAACGGTGAGGTTGCGTGTGGTAGCACCAATGCTGGTATGGAAGATCACCCGGTTGCCCGTGGCACCATCAGCAGCCGTTGGCACATATCTTACATAGATAGCGGTTGCAGCAATAGTACCGCCGGTATGTGCCACAACCAGCGAAGCAGCAAAGCCCGTAGTTGCATTCAGGGATACTTCAAACTGCGCGGGGGCCGTAATGGTAATATCATTGCTAAGGCCGGTGCCGCTGATCGTATATTGCTGTACTGCCGATCGGGTACCGCGAACTACATTACCAAAGTTGCCGGAGAACCCGGTTGTGGTCACCACTACATTAGGCACCAGGTTCAGGGTAG